ATTCTGGCGACAGAATCGTGTTTTATCGTGTTTTCAAATTGATTTCGAGCAAAAACAATTGTTTTTCCAATTTTTGGCGCTGTCAGAACCACCGCAAGGTAATTTTACGCAGTCCTGTGAATTTTTGTTAAAATCAGTTGAAAAATGAAGGAAATCCAATCCAATATATAAACGTACAGACACACACATACACACACACAATCTGCGTTTTATAATAAGTAAGATACTCATGACTTTTATGAAATCAATGACAATCTTATGTTTAATAGAATCGTCACGACCGCTAATAGTATCAAGTTTTATGACAAATGAAATGACTTATTATAAAGACAAGCCCGGGATTCGGCTAGAAAGAACAGTAATTTACATCACACTGACAAAATAACAATAATCAACAGATATCCTATATCATCCAAAACAATGGAAACCCGATGATGGCCGGAGGGTTTCTTGATCGAAACTTTGTGTCTATAACAACAACTATAATAATCACCATGGGAGTAAATAAAAAAAATATCCACAGTTCCTCATTTCAAAATGAAAAATAATTTTCAAGAAAAACCTGTACGAAGTCGCCATGATAGCTAGATCTGGAAACTATCTAACATTGAAAATAAAGGCTCTAAAATTATACCACTGATATTTCTCGAGGGCGTAGTGGATATAGGAGTTGGCTATGCGTGTGGTACTGTATTCTATTGGTCATGGGTTCAATCCCTGCATCTGTAGAGAAATACTTGTTCAGTAGGAATGTACAATAAATGTCATTACATAACTTCAATTAACATTCGATATAATCCTTATTTGCACTATTTATATAGGTCGAATCTAGTGACTTGACACAAAGAGTTGTCAGCTCAATACCTGGCTACACCAGAGGTGAACCAAAATTGGAGAGTTGAGTTAAAGGGAGATAACTGATACTGACACACCCGGAAGAGGGATGGCACGTGGTACTAGATCAATCTACACTGGTGGACGAAATAAAGGGTTCTATCGAAATTTCAAGATGGCTGGAGCGTACAACGGTCAAAAAGTTGTAATTATGGCAACATAGATCAGGACAACAGTCCGAACAATGTAAATAGTGTAAATGATTACAATACCTCATCTCATAAATATAGACAGATATAATTCTTAATAAAACGAGGACATTAAGATATATTCTTTTTGTTTCCTAACCTTTCCTTCTCACCTGTGTGGAGATTTCTTCCAGTTTCTTGCCTTCACTGCCACCAACAATCTTCAAAAATTTAAATGCAATGTCAATCGTAACCTTTTGTATTCCAGATTATTGTTCTTCCTCCTGAAAAAAGTCTTCTCATTCTTATTCACTCTCAGTAACCTCTTGTGTCTTAGTGACGTTATCACCTTGCTTGGGATGAAATGATTAAAAAAAAAAGCATATTAAGGTAAAACGTTACGACCTCTAATAAAACGAGGACTTTCTGGCGTCTAAGAAAATAGCTATGACTACTTATACAATTAAAGGTCTTTTTAGATTTACGATTAAAAATGTGACTGCTAATAAGGACAGCAGGCATTTAAAAAGCGTTTTAATGATCCCATGTCGATATTACTGCTTAAAAGATCAAGATCAATGTGTCGTTTAAGAAAAACGTTTTGTTTGTTAATGAAACAATGAAGTTACTTCATTTAACCTGACTATTAATAAAGTCTTAGTGGCTTTATCGCCTTGAAATGATAAAAAATATATAAATAATATAGTAAAGCAAGAGATAGTCTTTAGCAATGTACAGAAATAATCTTTGAAGTAAAGATCTGTAAAAGACTAACCTATTGTACTAAACAGTCTGGTAAGCGTGCTTGCTAATCAGTACTACAGCAGCCATATAAGAACATCTCGTTGTATTGGTTTCATAAATCCGCCAGTGTCGTTTTTAATATATTTAAGACATGCTTGTCTTTCGATTTTTGTATATTCATTGAACGCGTTCTCTATCCGCATGCAGGCTGACTGTTCCCAGAAGAGGAGAATCCTTCTGAAAGAAAAAAGGTTTCGAAATTTAAAAGAAATCAGCTTCCTGAAAACCAAATGAAAAAGCAGTAGAGGAAAGCAGCAAATAAGATGCCTTTGGCAAGTGTTCTGACAGAGGACGGTAAGTGCGACGCTGAGATCTGAAGACGTATTGGGATGGCCAAAGACCCATTCCAAAATCTAAGCAGAGTATTACGAGACAGGAATATTTCGTTGGTAAGAAAGAAAAGAGTACTGAACTGCTACGTGATATCCGTCTTCCTTTACGGCAGCGAATGTTGGACGGTCTCCTCAAAGATGAAGAAGTGACTCGAGGCAACGATAGTATGGTTCTACAGAAGGATACTAAGGATACCATGAACTGAACATGTGAGCAACGATGAAGTTTTGGAGAGGATGCAAAAAAGGAGGAAGCTTATATTTAACATCAGGAAGAGGCAGTTGAAATGTCTGGGGCACATAATGATAAAGGAGGGCTTGGAGAATCTGATACTCACAGGGCGGATAGCGGGAAAGAGAGACAATGGAAAGCGGGCTTAAGCAAGTTGATGACAGAACAGGGTTTGGGAGAAGTAGCAAAAGGACAAAACATATTGAGAACTACAAGTGATAGGGAGAAGTGGAGAGCCATGATCGCCTACGTCCTGAAGGGACACGGCATATAAAAGAAGAAAGAAGGAGGAGCTTGTATTTGCAGAACAGAAGTTAGACGAGATAACAAAAAGGCATTCAATTTATTCAATATGAGAAAAATGTGTTGTCTATTAATGAAACTACAATGTTAGCTCATTCGACCTAACTTCTTATAAAATCAGAGACATCGTTTAAGAAAATCTTTATAATTGCCAATATAATCGACATAACTGCTCATAGACAAGAAGATCGATTAAAACTATCAATTTTATATCAGTTAATAAAAAGAAAAAAAAACAGTGTCGTTTTTAATATATTTAAGACAACGTAATCTGTAACGTGATGTCTGTCCTATATGACATTAAATGCTGGACAATCTCCTCGCAGATGACGAAGAGACTTGAAGCAACAGAAATGTGGTTCTACAGAAGGATGATGAGGATACCATGGACCGAACATGTGATCAACGACGAGGTTTAAGAGAAAATAAAAACAAAAAGGAAACTTATACTTAACATCAAAAATAGGCAATTGAAATTTCTAGGACACGTAATGGAAGGAAGAAAGGCTTGGAAAATCTGATACACACAGGGCAGATTAAGGGGAAAATGGACAGAGAGGAAAACAACGCTTAACATACTTGATTATCTGGTAGAAAAGGGTTTAGGAGAAATAACACAGATAAAATTTATTAAGAGCTATAACGAACGGGAAGTTGTGGAGAGTCATGATCGCCTACGTCCTGAGGAGACACGGCACATAATGAAGAAAAATAAACTCAATGACCCTATGATGTCTAAGAAAATGTAGAAATCCTCTAACAAAAACAAGAATCTTTTAATACTTAGGAAAGTCAATGAGCCTGTGAGTTGTAAGACATTCAGTGTGACTGTTAATAACGAAAAGCTCTTGTGACATTTTGCGTTAATAAAATCTGAAAATATATCAAGTTTCAAACAATCTGCATGTTCCAATAAAGGCTACAGTGAACTTTAAGAAAACAGTTTTGAATAATAATCTTCATGTGGTTATTATACTTCTTCCTTAGCACGGACGTTACACCCAAACATTTACACTTCAAATAAATAATGCGACATTATTGTTTGATTGCAAAAATCGACTGAAAAAAGAAGATGCTGTTTAGTCTGAAAGAAAGAAAGAGAAAGAAACAGCGATCGATTGATCGATTCATTTGTTTTTTGACGGCTTATCAACCTTTTTATTTAAAGCCTAGGTGTATTTTTGGATTGTAAGAAGTTTTTTGAGATAATAAGTATTAGCTTTACTATTTAACCCATAGCTGGGATTCATACATTTCCCAAGAACAATGGCACGTAAGTGAATATAATGAACTCTACTGGAATTCGAACCCTGATCTCTGATTTCTCATTTCGAGTCGGTATCCATTACACACATCCAAGATTATTCCCGAGTGGCCACCGATCTAATTACTGACTATGTTCAAAGTTGTTTAACTTCGGTGATCGTACGAGAAATGGTATTCGAACGTGATATGGCTAGGAGGGACGATACAAGAGATGATAACACTCTCATTTGTTTAACGTCTGCTTCAGTGAAATCTAAAACTTCTAAATTCTAAATCATTTATACCATCTTACTTCTTTAAATAGGCTTACGGCCATATCACATTGAAACACCGGGTCTGTACGATCATGTTTAAGCAAGGTCGAGTCTGGTCAGTAGCTAGATGGGTGACCGATTGGGAATACGTGGTGCTGAAAGCTTGGGCGTGTAGATGGTGTAATAATGGTTCGGAATTGTTAATTAGAGAGCCGAGTTCCAATTTCCGTTGGGTTTATTATAGACACTTATGCGTTAATACCCTTCGGAAAGGAATGACTCCACTTCTCTTCCTGCTAGCTATGGCTTAATTAGTAAGACTTGTGTCACTGATTTATTATTATCTTAAAAAATAAATATTTCTGGTTTTAGATAACTTGCAAACGGTTGATAAGCCGTAGAAAATGAATCAATGAAAATGCTTTAAATAATGACCAGCATTTATACTAATGATCGTTATCGCAATATTTGGTTAAAGTTGTTAAGCTGAAATATTTAACGATGAAATAGGAGAGTTTCCATGGGTATTTTATAGTCATGGAACTCATCATTAGCTTATTCAATCATTAAATTAAGAATTAAGATTCATTAAAAATGTCCAATAAAAAAACCCCGAAATATTCTCGGTTATTTCTAGTTTTTATTATTCTGCTTGTCCTTTCTTTCCTGAGTTAGTTAGCTCTTCTGTTATGCTCTGCCATTACCCAATAAATAATGGACTATTCCGTTTTAATCACGTGGAAAGACGAAAAAGAAATATCAAAGTCTTTTCTTTCTTTTCACTGACAGAAAGAAAGAAAGAAAGAAAGAAAGAAAGAAAAAAAAAAGAAAGAAAGAAAGAAAGAAAGAAAGAAAGAAAGAAAGAAAGAAAGGAGAGAGAGAGAGAGAAAAAAAAAGAGGAGGCGATAACACTTTAATATGTTTAACGCCTGTTTCGGTGACGTGGAAAACCTTGTCGATTCTAAATCTTTTTATTTGTACCCTCTTGCTTCTTTAAATAATAAAAAAGCAGTAAACATATTAAGCTCAAATATTTAACGATACAAAATTAGAATTTCCACGGCCATTTTGTAATCTGTGAACTCGCTTATTTATTCATTACATATTATGGTACATCAGAAAATGAAAACAGAAAAACGGTAAATTTTTCACGGGTAAAATTAATGAATATAAATACCATAGTTATATTAAAGAAACCAATATGACTGGTAATAAAATCAATGAATTTCTGACGCCCCAAAATCCTTAACACTACTAATATTAAACTTGTGATTTTAATGATATTCAAAATTACTGATAATAAATCGCTTTCAATATTAAGTTTAGGAGACTTCGCGTTCGCTAATAAATTCAATGATCCTGTCAGATTTAAAACAAATGATATGATTACTAATACGAGAACATACCAAAAATTATTGGAACTGGTGTTATAAAAAGAAAACTACAACATACATCAATTCAGCATTAATCTCCTTTGAAGTAGTCCCCTTCTGGAGACACAATTTATCCAGCAATATTTTCATTGATGGAAACATCTTGAAATCTTGTCCCTTTCAAGTGGGATTTGATTTTTGGAAAGAGGAAAAAGTTTACAAGGGATGTGATCTGAGGAATATGGTGGTTGACGGAGCTGGGGAATGCTGCCTTGGCTAAAAATTGCTGCACAAGCCATGGTCGCTGATGGAACCTCTGTGGCATGGTGAGACAACAACGCTCTTCACTTTCCTTTCAAATACTGATATAAACAAAGGAAGCGAGCAAGAACGTTAAAATATAATGTACGCGCGCGACAGAGTTCGGGGTCATTCGGTACTAAGCGGCTTTACTCTGCGTAATTTATTTCCGTTACCATAGCAACTCTCCCGATACTTTTTGATCAGACGTCGTCTAGACAAATACTAACTCTTAACATCGCTCTGACTGCTAAAAAAACGTCCTTGATCGTGTCAGGTTTAAGACAATAAATAAACATGTCTATAAGGAACTTGTTTCGCTTAAAAAGATCCTTATTTTTTTATTTACTGATAAAATATAAGATCCAAGCTAGATAGTAGGTGAGTGAGATTGTTGTAAGAGAGGGGAGAAGGAAGAATTAAGAAATGTATATTTATTTATGAGAAGCAGGCAAGATGAAATAATGGTTAGCGGCTGGGATTTAGGTATCGGAGAGCCCAGTTCGAATCCTAGGTGAATGTAATAGCCTCGGGAATACATCTCTTTTTTCCCATCTATGATAGCCTGACAGACTGGATCCTATAGCTTTGGTTGGTGACCAGTATAGGAGAAGAAAAACATCAGAATTCAAACCCAACCTGGAATGGGTTGGGCTCCGTCAGGCTATCTGGCCGAAGATATCGCTACTACGGCTGCGTGGGATCCTAATGGGTTACGGGACTCGTGATGATATTATAATGGCATGTAAAACATCAGTTGTTAGAGAAGCACTCTCTCGGGAATTTGTTCCACAAAGCAACAGTTCTAGGGAGGAAAGTGAAACTTGCTCCTTATCAATAAAACAAGAAGAGAATGGGGATAGTTTACCATCATGGCGGATACTAGCTATGACGATCTGTGCTAGTGGCACTAAGGAATGTAACTCGTCCAGCTCTCATAGTAATAGCGATAGAGTAGTTAGATATGTTTGTGCGATAAGGGTTACAGATAAGGGAACAACTCTTCATGGACGCTTTTGAACCCTGTCAAAACTGAACAGTGAGGACTGAGCAGCAATGGTTGTCAATAATAATAATGTTGTGGATAATCAACGAACCTCTCAAGTTTAAGAAAATCAACATGAAAATCGTTGCGCATTATTTTGAAAGTCAATGACCCAGTTTGGTTTGAGCCAATCGACAAAGCTGTTGCGGTGTTTCAGAACGCCATTAGCACGGCTAACATATTCGATGTCTCTGTCACGTGGAAGACAGCTGACCTGACTTCTAATAAACAAAAGAAGCCCGTGACTACTTATATAAATAGTAACGGTGTCAAGCTTAAGACAATCGACATGATTGCTCCTAAAGTCATTGACACTGTGACGTTTAAGAAAACTCTTATGACTGCTAATAAATTCCATAAACATGTCAGATTTACATGTCAGATGATATAAAACAGTTGATATGATTCTTAATAAAAAAGGTTTTTAAGGGTATTAAAGTAAACTTTTAAATCTTTATAACCTAATAAAAATTGAGCAATGTGACTGCTAATAAAAATTAGAAAAAATTTTAAATCTCTACTGTATATATTCGTGTATAAGTCTACTTCAGGTATAGTGTGACCCCTGATACCTTTTTGTGAAAAATCTGATTTTTTTCATATGGCTCGTAGATATGACCCCAGCATTTGACCAATGATAGTAAGCCTACTGTAGTCAAATACTGCCGTACCGGGCATCATCCTGAATATATTCTATGGCAATATTTAGTCTTCATTCTTTTTTTTTTTTTTTGTACAAAGCTACCCCAAAAGGGTGAGAAAAATCATTTACGGTAAAATATCTGATACGAAGATTTAGATACTCTACTTTTGTCTTTGGTCATGACACTAGACACTACATGAAGAGCAAAAACTCATCTATTATATATGCCACTTAAAATCAACAAATACCTTATATAAATGAAGAATTAATAGATTTTTTTACCTCAAATGTGCATTCATCTTTGTTTTGTGTTTACGTTGCTGAGGTATTGCCTTTCCAATGTCAACCTTTGTGTCAGGATTACCGTTACACAAAGCAGTACCGGCACATAATGCTAGAGCTACTTACTTGTACCGTTAAGGCTACCCAAAGGTACTATGAGAATGTAAGCCTACCAGATAGGTTACGGTCACTGAAAATGCATGGATTTTAACCGCTCCCAAAAATTTACCGGTGTAAAGTGCCCCGGTCATGGAAAATGCTGGATTTTAATCTTTTCAAAAAAAAAAAAAAAATTACACCTGTTTATTGTGACCCCTTATTATTTCGCAAAAAAACTGATCATAAAAACTTTGAGAACCACTAACTTAGACAAAAGAGAATGTTGAAATATTTGAACTGAAGCAACTGCTTGGAAATTTCAGCACAAATCTCTGATCTTCGTATTTGGGCGCAAATCAACAGATATTTGAGGAAGAATTACTAAGACTGAACAAAATCTTGAGGTCAATCAATATTCGATGACCGGAAAATGCTAAAGAAAAATGAACTTAGTGACAAAACAAAAACAAAATTAAAAAAAAAACAAAAACATGAATCAGTCAATGGGGAATGAGATCAAAAAATGTCAGTTAAATAATGTGGAAAAAAATTGAATACTTGTCTTAAACTTCGAATTATACAAGAATATATATATTTTGTAAGCACATATGAGTTAACTTACGCACACACACAAATACACACACACACACACACACATATAAATAGAGAGAGAGAGACTGACAGACAGACAGAAAGAAAGAGTGGGAGAGAGAGAATTAATGTGGAGAAACTCGTCACTTGATTAAGTGGTGTTATTTCAGTCATGCCGAATCGAAGTTTCGTGAGAGCATTGTTGTAATGCCTTCACTCTTCAGGGCTATTGGCTTTTCTGCTTCTCCTTATTAACCTTTTTATATTTATGCATAGTTAGATGCAATTTGATATCTTTGTGTGAGTGTGTGATTCTTTTCACTTAATGAGTGTTGTATTATCTGTTTTTATCTTTAGTTTTTTTGCTGTTTCTAAGTGGTGTAGTGTTTCTTGAGGATTGTTTACTTTGTATTGTACTAACCTCTTTTAACCGTGTTTATGTATATGCTCGCTTAATTACTTTATGTAAGGCTGGCCTCTTTTTACCGTGTTGAACTGACCCTTTTTTACCGTGTCAGTGTATATGGCCGCTTGATTTTACTTGTTTTAGGTCGTGGTTAGGTGTTTGTGCTTAGGTCATGGTTAGATGTTTGTGCTTGTATATATATATATATATATATATATATATATATATATATATATATATATATATATATATAATACTAGCAGCATGGCCCGGCGTTGCCCGTGCTTGATTCAAAATCGTATGACTCATACAGCAATCGCTATCACTTAACTTAAAATATTTTTCCCTTCCTTGTCTTTAAAAGAGTGCCCTTTTCCGTGCTGATGTTGCTACATGCCTTACTTCTTGCCTATCTCACACTGCGAATTTTTTCTAAGCTCTATACTAAACATTAAATCTGTTACGAAAAAGAACTAAACAAAATGAACACAAAACGATCAGCTTTAAAAAAAGGCTCGTAACTGGAAAAACCGAATGAAAAAGAATGTTAACAACAAATACTTTTTCCACACCCAACCCAGTTCTGCGGAATCAGAATCAACGTTGAGTTTAAGCAAGCGAATGAGCCAATTGGAGTAAAGTGCCATGCAGATTTAAATTTTCCCCACTTGTGACGAATGCAGCTATCGCCAATAGAATCTTCCTGCCTATTCATGGCAGCCAGCTATAGGCTATCACTCTGGCCAGTACAAAATGTCCGCAAACTACATGAAAACTGCCGTAGAAACATGAAAAAAATCGATTATTTCCACTATCGATGCGAGTTGGGAAATACAAAGTTGGTCTTAGTCTTCCCGCTAACTTGGAGCATGTGCATGTAAATTTTGGTGCAAATCCGTCGAAAATTGCGGCCGTGCATTCGTTACACACACACATCCTGCCTTTTATAGATAGAGATATATATAAAAGAGAAATAAATATGAACTAAAAATTTGAAAAAAATTAAAATATGCCACGAGCTTCAAAATGTAAAATAAACTGATGCCATCAGCGACTAAATATAATATTAATTCAATAATATCAAAATCCGCTACTTAAAGTTTCATATGATGACAATCATTGGACAGGAAAAGGTTTTCCACCTGAGGATTGCTATCGCATGAAACTCAGGTAGCAGATTTTTTTGTTATTGTTAAATTAATATTATTTTACACATTTACACAGACACAAACACAAACAAACAAACAATCACACACACACACATATATATATATATATATATATATATATATATATATATATATATATATATATATATATATATATATATATATATATATCGTCGATGCGATTTTAAAAAGGCTTAAGTTAATATGCGCCATTTAACAGGTCTTTTCCTCACTTTTGAAATAAGTACGCTTCTGCAGAAAATAGTGAGTGAAAGCAAGAAAGGTTAAAATATCAACAGAAGAATGATCTTTAGCAAAAGAATGAGCCCAAAATGCAAGTTACAAATTGGGGATGACATAATCATGCACGTACAATGATTTAAATATCTGGGACGTATTTAACAGAGGTCGGAGAGTGTAACACTGAAATCCGAAGGCGTATTAGGATAGACAAAGATGCCTTCCAAAAGCTAGGCACGGTATTAAGAAACAGAAAAACTTCGTTAGAAACAAACAAAAGAGTAGTGAACTGTTACGATATATCTGTTCTCTTGTATGGCAGTGAATGCTGGACAATCTCCTCAAAGATGAAGAGAGCCAAAACAACAGAAATGTCGTTCTGCAGGAGGATGCTGGGGATACCAATTATACCAGATTTACAGAAAATGGAAACAAAAAGGAAACTGCATCAAAAAGAGACAGGTAACATTTCCAGGCCACTTAATGAGAAAAGAGGGCTTGGGAAATCTGATACTCACAGGACGGATTGAAGGCAAGAGGGACAGAGGAAAACAAACTTAGTGAGCTTAAGTAAATGGATGATGAAACAAGGTTTGGGAGAAATAACAGAAAGACAAAATTTATTAAGAGTTACAAAGAACAGGAAGTTGTGGAGAGTCATGATCGCCTACGTCCTGAAGGGTCACGGTATATAAAGATTACTATAAGATTATATTTTGATACAAAGACTTTTGTGAAGTTAGGCCCAAATTTACAAAATAATCATATTATCAATATCAATATTTTTTCTTTTGCTCATTTCCTAAAAGGCCCCTTTAACATCACACTGACGATATATATAAAGAATTAATGGATTTATATTTTAACTTACATTTTTATTGCTTCAAACGTAATCTTAATCGATAACCGTATTTGAAATAGACACACTTTTTTTATTTTATACAATACACATTACATCCATCGGCCAGCGCTCTCAAGAAATCTTAAAAAAAGAAAATGTTCTCTTAGGCAGGGTTTGAACCAGCGTTCTCTTTGTAGGAAAAGCTACCGTTTATTTGGATATGCCTTAGATTGCTCACCATAGTAGTGTATACTTCTAAAGAAAAAACTTAATCTTCGGATGGAGATTAGATTTTGCTGATAGTGTCTGACTGCCCAGAGAGAACGAACAGCCAAGAAAGTGAGAAAGAAAAAAGATGGAATTTAAATAGTGTAACCCGGATATAAGAGAGTTGTCGGGACCGGAGAAGTCTCTTATATTCGGGTTTCTCTTATTTCCGGGTTTTTCTTATATCCGGGTCTCTTATATCTGGGTTACACTGTAGATTGATAAATCTATCTAACTCTCAAATTATACAAATATTCCCGGGTCTCGACGAAAGATTCACACATCTCTCTTAGCCACTCCATTAGGAAATAGAAACCACATTTTGAACCAGTTCTTTTTTTTTCTTACTGAAAGCTATTTCGCGCCCTAAACTGACAGAACATTTGTATACATATAAATATAGAAAAGAGCGAGGGAGAGAAAGAAAGAGTCACGTGCTGCGTATTCATGTGAGCAACGATTATTGCCTCAATTGAATAAGTTGTTTACTTTTGGTGTTTCAACAACATTGAATAAAACAAACGATATACGAGTAAGCGATACAGGCCAAATTGAAATCTAAGAAGGAGAAGAGGCCAAAATTAGAAACAAACACGATATCACAATGTTGTCATATTTTCATTATAGCTCTAGGACAATAACATAAAAACCAGTGCACTATGTGAAAAAAAAAAGGAATAGTGATTTACATACAGACATATACACATATAATTACACGCATAAACATATACAGGCTGATATTTGCATATATATATATATATATATATATATATATATATATATATATATATATATATATATATATACATATATATATATATATATATATATATATATATTATTATTATTATTGTGTATTAATAGAAATCTTATAATTATAAGAAACTATGCTCGCTCGGAAAACCTTCGTTGTATTGATTTGCAAATAACCAAGCCAATACCAAAGGGGAAAAAAAGGTATAAAAAGAAAGAACCAAGAACATGTACATTAGCCGAAAATAATCGTCCAGCATACGAGTTTAAGGCCCAAAGAAAAAAAAAACCCGATGCGAGTACCCAAAACAACTAAATAAAGTGCTCAATACAATGAGTAGAGCAGACCTAGTTAAACCTAGAGAGCCAGACAAACCTACCAAGGTTTCACCTAAGCGGATCGTCAGGAAAAACTGGCTCTCCCTGACGACCCGCTTAGGTGAAACCTTGGTAGGTTTGTCTGGCTCTTATATATATATATCTTACACAGGGTACGATAGGTAAATTGTCGCCATTTTATACTTTTAATTTCGCGCATGCGCGTTGTTTGTTTTTGATTTTGTCTGCACAGTATAGTAAGGTCAGTTGGTCACCATCTGTGAGAAAAAGAGCACCATGATGCAATTCGCGCAGGAATATCCAATACGATTATTTCAGAGTGTTTGGGTGTCAATCTGAGGAGAGTACAGAGGATTCAGAAAGAGTTGGATGAGTCTAATGGTGATCACGAAGGTACGTCATCTCCGAAAACTCATTCTGATCGTTCTGATAAGAAAAAATTCCAGAATTTGTTGGCCAACACAGAGACCTACATCAAGTGCCTTGAGTAGGTAATGCTGCCCTTGGCCAACCGAGTGGCTGCTGGAAGACCCTATGTCTGGCAACAGTAATCTGCACTATGCCAAACAAACAGGAAAGTCCCATCATAGCTGTTAGGCAATTTCTGCGACCATGTTTACTCCTTACATCTGGCCACCCAACTCCCCCGATTGCAACACAGTTGATTATTATGTGTGGGGCGCATTTGAGCAAATATATCTCTTAAAATGAGATGTCAGTGTTATTTTCATGTTTGCGTAATTTGAACGAAAATTTATCCATCATACCCTATATTCATATACCATATATAAATCGTTTCGTGTCAGCCCCAGTGTCTTCCCAAATGAAAAATGATGGGAGGAAAACGATCATTCAAGACTTCAGTAATGATAACAACATTCATACTCTGGCTTCCATCTTCAAATGCATTCAAGAACCATCCAGAGAACGCTAAATAATTTTAAAAGTGGGAAGAGTAGAAAAGAAAACTGAATCAGGAGGTCACAACAGGAATAGGGAAACTCAATCCATAATACGTTTGGCACACGAGAGAAGGGTTTTACCTATGATAGTCCAAAGAGCAGTTGAAACTTGAAAATGAAATCGTACGTGAAACCTGTGAGGCAATTTGTTACACCAGAACTTAAATTTAGAAGGTTAGAGGGTGAAGATCATCTTGAATAAATTGTAAAAATGATCCTGGAATAATATATATATATATATATATATATATATATATATATATATATATATATATATATATATATATATATACCTCGACTCTCCCGTCGAATTCGACGTATGAGGGTCAAGCAGATCAGCTCCCAGGAAACGCACAGCCCGACAACATCACATGAGATTTGTTTATAGTGGTGAAGGTTTCGTGCAGGACCAATCACACTTTTTGAAGGGCCGAATACAGAGACCTGGTTCACTACGTGCCACAAGGTCCCCAAACGACCCTCCGCAGGTTTTGAATTCAGAGTTGTCCTTCTCCTAGACCAGTTGCCATCCAAGGTCTGTCCTGCTATTTACCCATAGCTGGAGGAAGAAGAGGATTCACACCTTTTCACAGCCTGTCTCGCTAGATCAATGTTGACCGCTATACGAGTTCAATCCCCACTGAATGCTTCTTTCTTTCGTCCTTGTACTGCATTTAAGCCACACTTACAAAATCACCATAAATAGGAGAGATTACTGAAAAGTTCTCGGCAAAACCCAGTTCCTAAAAGTACTGAAATGTCTCTCTCCGCACACACACACACACACATATATATATATATATATATGGAGAGAGAGAGAGAGAGAGGGGGGATGCATCCTATATATTTATACGTATGTATACGGAAATACATTGACTTATGCACATATATATGTATGCAGAAGTACATGTTTACATACATATATACATAATCTGTAAGTAAAAGTAGTTTTTGCGTACGAATAAAAAGCACTCAATTTGTATGCACAATTAATCGGAGATTTTCAGGGTTTTAGTTGAGTCGAGAGAAGTTTCTTTTATTGTCAGCTGAATAGAAGCAAATCAAGAAAGAAATGTGGCCTTGTGACATTGACCTGTGACACTATCATTATCCAGGAGTTACTAAGAAAAGTCGGTAATTGTCACCACTTGTTCTAGATTGTTGAAATATCGCACTAACATAAAAAGTATGTTTCACTCGAAACTACAGCGGATTCTTCAACCGTAAATTATATACATTATATTTAATAACAAAGTCTAGCATAAGGCCAACATTGTTTGAGCACTAAATAATATTCGAACGCACCCAACTAGTTTTCAAAACGAAAAAGAATTCTTGAAAAATCAGTATTCGAAATCATGGATTTAATCTGGGATCGAACCTTGGCCGTATCGACTTGTTAAAAAATAAATAGGTACTTCAGTCACCATACTACTTAAAAAAAAATTTTTTTAAAGTAATCTTCGGATAGAGATAAGAAGATTTTGTTGCGCCAAATTTCAAAGTTGAGAGTGTCTGACTATTTTGAAAAGCAGCATTCGAAATCATGGCTTTGATCGGGTGTTGAACACTAAACACTGAGGGAAATTTCAAATGTCTCTTTTTCATGTTAAGCATAAGTTTCCTTCTTGTTTCCATCTTCTAAGTTGAAAATTCACGTGAAATTAGAGCAATCTACCCCTGGTTCGGTTCCAAATTCTAACAAATATCACCTGAAGAAGACCGGAGCGTATAACGGCCGAAAAGTCGTGAATATGGCAATAAGTTTAAGGACAACAGTCCGAACAATGTAAATGGCGTAAATAATTAAATTCCTATGATTACTTGATTTTGAGGTCTCCTATTAATAGATGCTGTCCTCCTAGATAACGACATTGCTGTCTTCTTACTATTGATAGTCCTTTCTTCCCGTTTTCCTTTACTACTTTATCAAGAAAGGATCATCTCTGATGTTGTTAAAATTGTTTACAGCAAAAATAAATCTGGGAAGGACTTCAAGTTCTCTTAGGATTGCTTCAGGATTAGGCGAACATAATATATGCGAAAAGAAAGGTATATACATATCTACGGCTAATAATGCTTCACCTTTATGTATGTCCGTATATAAGTCTGTATGTCGACATGTTTATTTTTAGTTCATTTTTTTTTCATATACAGGGTAACAAAAAAACGTGATTTTTTGAAGTGCGTATAGCCAGACATGAGCAAGTGACAACACTGCGAGACAGTGACCTTGAGTAAGTAAACATTTCGCCATTTAGAATTCAAGAGGAAATTCACAGTATCCCAGCTGAGATGTTGCAGCAGTCAATGAGGAATCTCAACAGCAGATTTCAAGAATGCATTCGTACAGGAGGACGCCATCTACAGAACGTAATTTTAAAAAAATGAAAATTCCATCATTGTTTCTTAAATGGCATGTTTTAAGGTTTCAATTACTATGAATAAAATATTTTTCTTTCATCACACTTGGTTTTATTGGATTGTTAAAAAGTTCTCGCTTTTTGGGGTCACCCTATATATTTATCCCTTTGAACATGTAAGCAAAATGGAATTTAGAAAAAATTGAAAAAAGGGATACATACATGGCATCAGAAAAGAGACCGTAGATATTTCTAGGGCAGATAATGAGGAAAGAGGGCGTAGAAAATTTGAGATTCACAGGACCTATTGAAGGCATAGAGAAATCAATACATAACCTTGGTTGGCAGGACAGGATTAAGAAGATGTAAATTATAGCGAACTAAACCCAGTATAGACAAACTTTACTAAAAGCTACAAATATAGGAAGCTATAGAGAACCATGATCGTCAACGTCTTGAAGGTATACTGCCCAAAGAAGAAGAAGAATAAGAATATTTGTTTATTCATATTTTTTTACGAATGATTATAAAGATACATTAGAATTATTTTTAATAGTTTGTATTGAATAATTCTCATTGAATAGACATTCCTAAACCAATGACGAGTGTCAGCATCATTTTAAAACAATTTTGACACTCACAGGACATACTGATATCAAGAGTGAGAAATAAATAGCGCATGACCTACTTAGCGAGCTTGTTTAAATGGTTGACAGAATAGGGATTACGAGAGTTAGCAGAAAGACAAAATTTACTAAGAGCTACACAGGACAGGAAATTGTGGAGAGCTAGGATCACGCATGTCCTGAAGCGACAAAGAAGAAGAAGAAGAAGAAGAAGAAGATTATAATGAACTGAACCCAGGTCAGGCCGCGTACTTTTACTACTTTAAAAACGCGGATAAACATCATTTTTAATATGTAACTATTATTAAATAACGAAGAAAAAATTTTGCTTTACTAAAGCAACCATTGAAATAACCAATCATATTTAAGGCAGCTTTTCTATCACGTGTTTCATGATGAGAGCGTC